GCGTTTGCGTGCCTAGACTAAAATGCGCGCTAGCACGAAAGCTTAGTACCTTACCCTGTCCATCGGTGGACTTCGACGCTTTTAACTGCGAATTTAATCCTTCCTCCGCTGGTACCGAGGATTAGACAGATGCGTGCAAATCAGCTTCAGCTGTTGCTCGTCGCGTTTCCTTTTGTTTTAGCATTTTAAATCGACCTCTCTTTCTTGTATCTGTATTATAAATCTATTGCCAGATTCCTACGTACCTATTAGGGATGCTATTGTTTCAAAAAGCTGGCAGATTAGTAGTTTATATTCAAACAACGTAGCAGTGAAGTACTCTGTAGCAAGTCATAGCTGCCTGCGAGTTGCTTAAGGCAAGCTGATCAGTGTTTGTGATGTGGTATTATTATTAAAATGCACAGGTATTGCTTCGCGTATGTAATGCACAGCCTGTGTTTTGTGTCCTCTAGTTTGATCTTATTACCTAGAAGGTCTTATAGAACCACTGACAGCTCTTTAATCGTGTTATTTGTGTCCTTCGGACTCTTGGAGACATCATTTCAGATAATTATTGAATACATCTGTAGCATAGTTACCGTATTGCTAGCTCGAGACTGAGCTACTGGAGATGTATGTACTTGTTTAGGCTGCTTTTCCAGACAGCCTTGAATACATTGATTTATTTTAAGACATTTACGTGTGGTGGAAAACTTTTTTTCCTCCTCAAATATGGTTCCTCGTATTTCCATTCCGATATATAATGTCTCGGTTTTGTAGTTGGGTCGAACTTCATCAGCATGCGAAAAAGCTATCACCAAAGTTCCTATTTAAATGGCAGAAAGCCAATTCTGATTGCTCGATAGTTATCGTTTATGCTTCTTTTGCCTAGAAAACATGTTCACAACGGAGATTTTCTTTATTCGCATCCCCTTAAAACTTTCAACTGTATATGGTTAACGCCCATGTGTTCACTTTATGGATTTTTTCTGTGAGAAAATGGCCTGCTTATTACCTTTTATTACGCCTTTTCTACGTGCTACTTGGAAGTCTTATTTCTCCTCATTAAAATATCTCAGAAAAGAGCGAGCCTACGGACTTTCCAATCCGTTTTTTTTTCGGGAATATTTTTTATAGCATATTGAATTTTTCTATTACTGATTCTGATTTGTACGGTTTGAACGGTTTGTCAAGCGCACGTTGCCTAGACTTATCTCGTTGTTGCAATGGTTTCCATTAACTTGCTTCGTGTGCCTTTTCTCTGCGGATACTTGGCAAGACTGTTTTGGGGATCGGGTACTCGACAGCCCCAACTCCCACTCTTCAAGTCACGTACATCCCTCATCCGGCGTATTCGTTAACTCCCTTAGTGTCTTCTGTAGAGCTCTTACTGACTGCCCCATAGGCCGCGCTGTGTTCGCGTGGTCGTAATGTTCGACAAACACGACGGAAGTTGTGGCCGCATGCTTTTGCGAATTTAGGTCGGCCCTGTCTTGGGCAGCCAATGTCCAGCGAGATACTTCGGTCTTCCTCAGCCTCTTTGTCCGAGATCTACAGCCTCTCCTCTCCCCGTCTTTCCCTTCCCCTCGCCGAACTCCCACTGTTAGCCTAGTTGATTTGCTGTCGGCGTTGTTGCAGTGGCAAGCTGCTTGAGTCACGCCTGTTCAAATCTCAGCACGCCTGCCCACGCGTTCTTCCTCGGCAGCACGGGCACCGGCAATGTGCCCAAAATTGCAAGGGCAGAGCTTTGCTGCAGAGGGAGCAGAAGGAGATTTCTCTCCTGTCTTCCTTTTTGGTGTTTCTACCCCCGTACTCGCATTCTGGAATCTGGAGTCCGTGTGCTAGAATATAATCTTATGAACGCATTTTCTGCATGTGTTACTGATACTATAAGTTATGTATGAGCGCTCTTGTAGACCCACTCGATCGCCTTAACGAACCGATTTTTCGTACGTTTCATACTTATGAGGCATTTTGAAGTCTTTTAAACTTACAGCGCCTAATTTGACAGTTGCCAAATGGTTTTCTCTCGCCGATTTTACTCTCCACTGACTAGCTTCCGACTTTAATCGAAAGTCTGCATTACCAGTTGAACTTTTTCCAGTCCTGTTAGATTTTTCCATTGTCGAGCCGCTCCATCGCTATCTGAGTTAGCCACAGTGGACACCGTGCAACGCTCTGTCAGATTTACACTTGTGGACTAGGACTACGCCTCTAGATGGTCGCGTATTGTGATTTGAAAAGTTAGCACTGACCGTTAGTTTCTGCAAGAATTAGCCCAACTTTCCGGTAAGACACAAAGGTGAATGCTACTCCCGCCGATGGCAGGTGACCTTGCGCCAAATTTCGAATGAGTTGGGGTTAGG